GCACTAGCAAAAGTGGGGGAAAAGAAGCAGATACAATAGAGGGTTTGTTGTTATTGCAAATGTTGCTTTGTTGGGCCACAAACACAAAACAGAATTGAACCATTACAGCCGTGGATGTATTACTGTTTAACTGCTTTAGCTGAAGCACTGGGATCTGTTTGCTCACAACCTTTTGTTGCATGTTGAATCTATTGCAAGAACATGATCATTTCTGTTTGAACAATGTCACCACAAGGTCTATCTTGTTTTTATCTTGTATTTAGGGTAGTACTTTTTTGTTGTATAATAAATGAACTATTCATCATATTTCTAAATTTGACATTTCTTTCTGACGTTCTATATTTTCTATTTTTACATAAGATTGTTTGGCACCAGTGTCAGGTGATAGTATTGATTCACCTTAATAACTGTGCTGCAGAGTTTATTGATCATTTTACTATTGTCACATTGTATTTGGAGAAGAGGAGAGATAGACAACAGCGGGGGTTCAGCGTCTGCCATGTTCTGTGCAGATGAGGATATTGATTGTGGCTTGTACACTGTTTATTATGAATAAATTGAAGGAGATGGTGACGTGAAAGCCAAATATAAATACAGTGATGTTCGACACAAAACATTTACTTTGATCAATGAATGTCTTGTAAAAAGACAAGTGTCTTATGCTGAAAGACAAAAGGAGAGACACTGCAGACTTCAGTGAAGCCCGGGTGTGAAAACGAGCCTCTTGATTAATTATAACACAAGAGCTGTTGGCAAAGCACATGAATAGTTGAACTAATGCCAGCAGGGAAGTGTCTCATCCTTGTTGCCTCTTACACTTTCAATTGAGCACAAGTCTTATCTCCGTCGCCCCGTATTTGTTTCAAAAACGAAGGTACGGCCACTTAATCCTACTTCTCTTTCTTTTCTCCTTGTCTCTCAGTGGAAGGCTGCACAGACTGGTCAGTGGACTACCTGAAGTACAGGGTGCTGGTGGGGGAACCCGTGAGGATTAAGTGTGCTTTATTTTACGGATACATCCGGGCCAACTACACCCACGCACAGAGCGTTGGACTCAGCCTTATGTGGTACAAAAGTGCTGGCCACGGGGACTTCGAGGAGCCAATCAGTTTTGACGGCACCAGGATGAACAAGGAGGAGGACGCTATATGGTTCCGACCGGCAGAGTTGGAAGATGTGGGATATTATTCCTGTGTACTAAGGTAAGTACTTAGTTATGTGTTGAATAATTTACTTTTATTTACCCCCACGTTAATGTTGACAAAAAATTATTGCTATCAGAGAACATGAGCTTTTCTAAGACAAAAACAGAAAAAACTAAATAGAACATTATAAATGACTAGGGCTAATGTATTAATGCATCAGTCAATGGATTGAAATAAGAAAAAAAATCTAACATGTAAATGGAACAAATGAGAGTCAAGGCCAAGCGCTGACCAACACCTAGAAAATGTAACTAGTAAATAAACAGGAAACAGGATGAATCCATGGACATCAAACTCTCAGTCATTGGTGAAAACCTTGACCTTAAAAGGACAGAACAAGGTCAGTTTAATGTGTTATTCTTCTCTGGTGGTCAGTTAAAACGTTGCTCGTTGGCCTCTTAAAAGTAAAATTGTAAGAAAAGTGAACTTGAGTCAGTGGGTCATATTTCCAAATGTCTTTGTTAACTGATGTATTAATTGTGTCCCATGTTTAAGCCCTGGATGTAGTTTTTCTACACAGCTACACAAGTGTAAAAAAACTACAAGTGAGACTCTGAAGCAGAGAACGCAGAGAAAGAATAACTCCACTCTCTTGTGGGAATGAAAACAGAAGAAAATCCGGGGAATCATTTGTATTTCAGAGGTTCATTCGAAAGGAAAAAAAAAAGAAAATGCATCACAAACGCTCTCGGGCAACTGAGACACTCAGAACAGGTTTCTCCGCGTTTCATAAGCTTACTTTTAAGAGGTTTTTAGTTATTAATATTTAACACCATTAGCTCCCAGTCGACAAGAATGAAAAAATAACTGCAGCAATCAGTCAGCTTAGAGTTATTGTTTGATCAGGTGGAAATGGAGGCACAGGATTTGTTTTGGAGGACAGCGCAGGCTTTGTTGTAACACGTTCAGAGCCAACACATATTTTACCTTCATGGAGAAAAATAACAGCCTTTTCCATCATGTGGAATTGGACTATTGTTGCTCGTGGTTTCCATCCTGCATATAACTGTTTTTTTCTTTTTTGCACAGATGAGTCCTCACTCAATGATGCTGATTATCATTATTTAAAATCTAAACAGATACAATGCTGACCTTTCTGCTCATACCAGCACTGATGGAATAATCAGATTTGCTGATTTTCCAGCACTAATCAAAGCATTTGTTGCAGCTGGAGGTAAAATCTTTCCCACACTGATTGACTTAATTGAGCCAAAAACAGGGGAACAACATAATGTCCACTCTTAATTACCTCTCTGTGGGGCTTAAAGTTTACTTTTGTGTGCTCACTTGTATTTGTTTTTCACCATTTCTTCAGCCTTATCACAGCCCTCTCCTTTCAGTGGCACAGTGTCGCTGTTATTGTTTCCTTTCGTCTTCTTCACATTTTTATTTAAGCAACACGATAAGTCGGTTAGAGAGAGTGACAGTCTGTCGTCTGAACTGATCTGTAAGTAGATTAAACACAATGAAAACGTACTTTTTTATCTTTTTATCTTTTTATTGTCTTTACATGCATTTCTGAGAATCCTATCCTTAAGATGATAATTCAAAATAAAAACTTTGATTATTTAATTTTCTTCCTTCTTAACTATCCTTGTAGTTAGAGTATATTTGTGAACTTTGATTATTTAATTTTCTTCCTTCCTAATTATCCTTGTAGTTAGAGTATATTTGTGAGTTTTTTTGTTTATAGTTTTAATGTAGTGAAAACCAGTTAACTAAAGTCAGACCATGCCCCCATACCAGACCACACCATTGCCCACATATATCAAGTAAAATGGAATTTCCATCAGGTGTGGAATAAAAAAGATTTTTTTTTCCACATGATGTTATTCTGTCCTCTGTTATTCAGGGGCAGAGATTAAACAGAACCATCACGAAGGTCTTCAGCAGAGATGAACCCTGGTGTAGGATTTTCATTTTTTTTAAATGCAGAATTGAAATGGTCACGTTATTACAGGTGAAGAGCTGCATAAAGCACCAATAATGATGTATCTTAACTGAATGTCAGTATAGCTACTACAGTCAACCACCATAAACAGAGCAGTCTGCAGCAAGGATTTTTATAATGATAAAATGGCCTAGGAAATGTTGGAGGAAAAGTGTTTCTCCTGTTTGTTTATTTTTGGTGAAAACAGATTTAACAGGTTGAGATTGTAATAAAGAAATGTAATTGAAATTACATAGTTTATAAATGAAAAAGAGATCCAACATATTTATGGTGCACAGAGTTTAAAACAGTAACTTGGTTCTGTTTCAACCTTCCTCACATTTATAGCACTCTTTGACCTACTTTGTATGTTAGTATGCTGAATTATTAAAGATGATTATTCCATCATTTTTCATGTAGTACTGTAACATGGAGGCAGTCCACTTCTGGCAGAAAAGTCTCCCATTTTGCAATTTATTGTACAATGTTCCAATGCTTTTATCAAAGTACTAGCGTTCTCATTGTGTTGGAGTATCCTGGGATTACAGTGGAAAACATTTGGTTGTGTTTGCAGGTTAGGTTTTATCTAAAATCTTTTTTCTTAGTTTCCAAGTGTGTCAAATTGATGCTAGAGTCTTTTGTTCTTAGAAAATGTTGCTTTATTTTTCCAAACCAGTGAGGTCGTAGGGTTAAAAAATATGTACTTATTCACTGAAAAGTCACTTAAAAAGCAAGAAGAAAAATTGTTTTTCACACATTTCAGTGCCAAACTTTGAGCCAGTGGAATAAAAGAAATGTTCAGTGAAAAGCTGAAAGTCCTGTCTTATAACTTAGTCAACCAAGGGTCAAATGAGCTGAGTTTCTAATGGGGTTTCGAGGTCAAAAATTAATTCATTTTAATCAATTTAAAAGACCTAGACTTTTCTTGTTAGTACAGGCGAACACACTCTCTCTCTCTCTCTCTCTATCTCTCACTCTGTCTATCTCTCTCTCTTTCTTACACACACACTTAAACACACTCTTCTCTGCACACATCTCACATTAAATACATCACACTAACATACAGTTGAGGCAGCTCTCACACCACAGAGATCACCTTCTCTCACCACAGTGGAAGTGACAAGATGATTCCCTCCATGCATCAGATCCAGGACAGCTCTCTGCTGTTTCAAGATGTTTCAGCCCTGGGGAGCTGGTATGTGGTATGCAGAGTAAAAACATCTGCAGCAGTGTGTCGACTGAGCGTGCCGCTGCTGACGGTGGAGTGACAGAAAACAAACACACAAACACAATGAGCCACCTGGGTACTTGGAAAAAAAATGTGCCAAGTCCCCAGCTCTGCTGCTGCTTGCTCGCTCCAAGTCTGATAGCATGACAGAGTTGCTAATTCACAGACAGTGCAGTGAGCTGGCAGGTTAAACAAATTAGCATATTAGCTGACGAGGACTCACATTTGAGTAGTTGAACGAGTTGTCTGACTCTGAATTGTTTTTGGGGTTTTTTTTTTGTTATGATCACTCGGTTCTCTGGCCGTTTGTGTCTTTAGTTTTGAAAGATTTATTTATTTATTAGATATGCGACTACTCTTTAGCTTTGCCTGCTCATGTTGAGCTATATCTATGGTACATTTTAGTCAATTTAGTCAACAGTTGAATCGCTCGGCTCGTTAGCTTACCTTTGTTTTAAATAAACCATTTTTTAAGCTCTATTCTGTTAGTTCTAGGTTCTGTACCTTCATGGGGGCTTTTGTTAGCCTATTCTTATACTAATGTTTGGCTGATATTTTGTTAATTTGTTAGCGTGTTTTTGGCAGATTTTTTTAGGTTCTTTTGGGTATACTATGTCTCTTTTGTTCCAAAGATTTATGCCATTTCTTTTTGCTATTTTTTAACGAATTTATCACACTTTTGGCAGTGACAAGTTAAAACTGCTAATTAATTCTGTGTATCTGAGAGATTTAATTGGAGGATATTTAACATTCCTTTGGGCTTACCTAAAAGGATATGTTTTTCCGTTAGAATAATATAACATAATGTTTTTAATTGAATTGTTTTATGGAATTTAAACAAATAAAACGTAGTTAATGTGAGCTAAAGATCAACAAAACTGTATTTGGGTATATTTATTGCATTTAGTTTATTGACAGTACATTTAAAGTACAATGAACATTTATCTAATCACACAACCTGTAATAATAATAGTCTTCAGAAGCACTGGACAAATGTGACTAAACATTTGACTAGCTTTTAGCATTTTATGTCCAACTCCCTTTGCCTTGGTCTCTGCTTGGCCAGCAGAGGTAAAAGGTCACCTGTGCTTAATCTGTCTCCATCCTCCCTCATCTGTCACCTGATGATGCTATTATGAGAATAGCTGACCTTCACATGGTGCTTCAGGTTGATCCAGTCAGTGTGACACCTATCAAAACAGTGTGTTCGACTTATTAAGTCCCTGGAGTTTTCCATGTTAAAAACAGATGGCAGCTAAATAAGTTTTTACGGAAAAAATTATCACTTTACGGTAAAAATTTGTTGTTTTTTTTTAAATTAATTTAATGAAAGCTGACTGTTTAGCAGATTTAGCTTTGATAAAAACAATTTGCAAATCAGCGACATTTCATGTCTGCAAAATATTGAACGACTGTAATGAAATAAACATTGCTGTGTTCTTATTAGAAAAATAACATTTGAAACTAAGAGGTGAGTATTTTACAAGTTCATCTTTGGCTTAAAAGTCCCATGAACTGGAGAATACCCCAGGGTAAATACACAAAGACAGGAAAAAGAGTTCTGTACCAAACGTATACCAACCTACCATCGATTGACAGCCCTTTTACAAAGAAGAAATATATACTGTATTACAAATACATTTTTTTTCAAACCAGATTTCTTCATTGATCACTGTGGAATAGTGTGAGGATTACAGTTTCAGATTAAGGACAGATGTAGCAGCAGGAGAAGGATTCCACTTTTTGGCAGTGAGCTAATGTCTGACCTTTGACCCAGTGTGCTGCTGGTTGGCAGGCTGCCACCGTCCCACAGGCTTATTAATGGCTTTCCTGCATGCT